TAGGGAAATTTGTTTTATGATAGAATAAATTTTATTTCAATGTGATGAGTGATATCTCCTTTTGCTTCATTGACATAACTTAAGTGACAATAGGTTGTGTTAAAATTTGTTGTAAGTGAAACTTTGACTCGGGTGAGCAGTGATCTCGAAACTAGAGTGCACTCATATTGACCAGTTGACAATTGTGAAATACTTTAGGCGACAATGCAACTTTTAAAGAAATATAATTTAATGATATGTTTCTATTATGAGGTTTTAGGTGACAGATAGCTGCATAATGCTAATAAAATACTAAACGTGCTGATACATTCGAAAGAGGAAAAGTAGACATATGTTTCTTGTTGACACATAACTATTACATAATTCTATCAATTCTTTTAATGTTTATGTTATTATCTTCATTTTAATTTTCTTTTGCAATGAAATAGATACATATTTAGGAATTCAGCAGTGTTTAGATCTATTCTTATTTATTAATGTAAAGGTATTTTCACTAGCCCTTAATTTACTTTGCAAACTGATCACTTGTAATGTTAAAATCCGTTGCGAAACATAACGACCCTAGAGGGTTATGATTTCACCAACTAGTTAGCACCACTTAACTTTGAATAAAGTCGTTCCAATCGTCCAAGGGGGAGTGCAAATAAATAGAAAGATAAGTTTTGATGAGTATAAAATTGATGTTTCTAGGGTGACATACTAGATTCTTTTATTAATTCGGTCTTGTGTTTAGATATAAGGGCCCTCAGTAGGTGCTATAGAGATGACACAATGGGTAATCTAGAAGTGAGAGACTAGAATCTACTCATCAATACTACACAACTGTAACAAACTTAAAATTAACCAATGTTTTTTGCTAGCACCGAGAGGGGGTAAAGAATGCATATGCTCCTATTTATCACTGATATATTAAATTCTAAGCATTTCATTCGTACACATTATCTAAGACATTGTACGTGAAGGGTAGTTTTTATATCTTGAAATTCTCCAAACTAATTCATCAATACAAGTTTTTTTTAGACTTAAGATTTTCATTTAGGAGTAGTTGCTAGATAAAACATCTAAATCGACCTCCAAGCTAAGACTTAATAATAATAGACTATAACTTATCCTAAAGGCTTTCTAAACTCGTTTTTTTTTTGGATCGATACTACAGTCTTTAAAAAAAACCTTATATTACTTGAAACGATACACATACTTGCGTAGTACCGTAGTGTGTAAACTATATTCTAAATTTTCGAACATTTTGATTTTTCACACTAGCCGCTAAATATAAATTCAGTCAAGTTTTTTACCATCTTTTGGAAGCTAAATTACTGCGTAATTGCTGGTCAGATCACCGATCAAAAACCTTCTCAACACGATTATTAGATGACAAAATGACAACACCAACGGGCCATTAAATGCACCCTTTTCAAGCATTTACAAATTCTAAACAACGCCAACATCATTTAGGGATGTTAAAGGGTCCCGAAGTCGGTTATAAATATAAAAAGGAAAAATAATGACTTGCAACATTCCTATTAAAACATGGACAAACATGTAACTTTACTAGTAAGGGTCATTTCTTCAATATATGACTACTGAATTTACCTTCTCAAAACTCGTGCTACTACATAAATTATTTCTCTTTTTCTTCCTCTCATTTTTTTAACGCTTTATACCTAAGGCGTGATCCACAAAACATTTTTAGATTAAACAGTAACATAAGAACTTCATTTACAATTAAGTTTGAAGATACATTAACCATTAATACAAGATCATCTAAATTGTTAAAAAATTACATCATGACATCGGTGGAGGCGGAGCGAAGAGCATAAGCGATGTTCTGGCTTAAGCTAGAGAGGGACAGAGGCTACATATGTCCAGCTTATCAATCTGATACATAACATTTTACTTTTCGCAGTGTAGACATCGACAAACGCCATGGAGGGCTTTAGTTTATGTGTAAATGATAGGTGGTTGCTTAATATGAAATATTAAGTGCGAGGTATGAGATAGAAAATTAGAAATGTTCGATATATTGTGTATTTAAAATCCCCAATAAAATGTTGTCATTGAGAGTATAAAAAATCAACAAAATATTAAGATATTTCAGTTTAATATAGATTTATTCCACTACATGTATTTAAGATTAAAAAACCCTTATTAAGGCTCATGGGAATAGGGCTGTCAAAACAGCTCGTGTTCGGCTTGTTCGCTAAGTTAACAAGCCGAATATGGACAACACGAACAAAAATTTGTTCGTTTGTGTTCAGCTCGTTTTAACTCGAATTACTACTCATCAATATATATATATATATATATAAATTTTATGATTTGTATTTCGAGCAAAAACAAGCCGAACTC